GAGCGCAGGGCACCCGGGTGCTCGTGCACTGCAAGATGGGCGTCAGCCGCTCGGCGGCCACCGTGGCGGCCTACGCCATGAAGCAGTACGGCTGGAGCCTGGAGCGGGCGCTGCGCCATGTGCAGGAGCTCCGCCCCATCGCCCGGCCCAACCCCGGCTTCCTGCGCCAGCTGCAGACCTACCAGGGCATCCTGACGGCCAGGCAAGGCAGCGGGGGGCGGGGCGGGGCGCGGGGGCGCTGGGCCTCCCAGGCTGACGCCGGCCGCCGCCTCCTCACAGCCGGCAGAGCCAGGTCTGGGAGCAGAAAGTCGGCGGGGCCTCCCCAGAGGAACCCCTGGCCCTCGAGGCCTCGAAGCTGCTGCCGCCCCTTCTGCCAGAACCAGGGGACAGTGAGGGGGTGAAGGCCATGGGGCTGGAGGAGAGCCAGAGCGCCCCGAAGGAAGAGCCTGGGCCGCGGCCCCGCATCAACCTGCGTGGCGTCATGAGATCCATCAGCCTCCTGGAGCCCCCCTCGGGGCTAGAAAGTGCTCTGGAAGCCAGTGACCTGCCAGAGGTGAGGACCACACTCGGGAGGGGCCCCCAGCAGAAGTGGGGGGCGGGGGGCAATGGTGGCAGGACAGAGGAACACCAGGACTGGTGCTGTTTTCAGCAGCCCTCTTCGGCCCTCATTGGCCCGAGGGTAGGAGGCGGCCTCGGGGCGGAGAGCCGCGCAGGGCCCCCCAGCACCTTTAGGGGCTCCTGGCCAGGTGCGGGAAGCACCGAGCCCGAGGGGGGGTCAGCTGCCCAGCCTGGAGCCGGAGCCCCAACCTGAGTCGGGGTAGATAAGCTCTGTGCGGTGCAATGCTTCTCGAGGGTGTGGCGGCCCTCAGGACTCCCGCCCAGGAGGCTGCCCTGGAGGAAGGCGCCCCCAGCTGGGCACGGCATATGGAGGGGGCTTTCTGCAGGTGGCGCTGGGGCAGGAGGGTGGGAGGAACTGGGAGGAGCGGCTGGCGGGTGCTGGGCCTTCCCGAGGCAGGTGCCCTCTCTGGGCAGCCAGAGCTTCACCTGTGGCCTGGGGCCGAGGGGACACGTTAAGGGGGCAAGAGGATGAGGAGGGGCCTCGGGGTGCGTCCTGGGGCGCTCAGGAGGGCTGGGGCCAGGAGCTGCAGGCAGGTGAGGGCCAGGCACAGGGGCCCTCGGGCTGAGGAGTGTCTCCCCCCAGGGGAGGTGCCCTGCAGGGCCCGGCTTTCCTGTGTTCATTGACAGACTTCTGCGCCCAGCCATTCCTGGGCTCATGCTCTCCTGGCCCTGCCCTGCAAAGACGCACCCTGACTGCTTTCTTCTCTCATCATCAGGTTTTCTCTTCAAGCGAGTCTTCAGAAGAAAACCCCCCCCAGTCCTGTCCTCAGCCCTCAAAGGCCAAGGGCCAGAAGGGGCCTTGGCCTGCTCTGAAGTCCCACCAGTCTGTGGCTGCCCTCAACAGCGCCGCCCTGGTGGCCAGCAGGGCCAAGGCCTTCCAGGAGCCGGAGCAGGAGCAGGAGCAGGAGCAGGAGCAGGCTGGGGCGGCTGGTGGCTCCTCCGTGGCCAGGACCCAGAAGGTGGTGAGGCAGGCCAGCATCGATGGCAGCGGGGAGGAGGGTGAGGCCTGAGCCCAGGCCCCATCCCAGACTCCAGATTCTGCCACACCCCCCCCGCCGCCCCCCCCCCCCCCCCACACTACAGCCTCAGCAACTCCAGCCTTAGGCCTCAGGCCATGTTCCCTGTCCAAGGGCTCAAGACCCCCCTCTCCCCCCATAAATGGGGTGGACTGAAGATGTCCTGGGGGCGATAGGCCCTAGCGTCATTCCGGCTGTGAAACACTCACTCTGGCCGCTAAGTAAGTTTCCGGGCGCAGCAAGGGTCATGCTGCCGCCCCCCACCCTGCCCCGCAGGCCACGGCTCGTGCTAAGTCTCCTGCCCTCCTGCCCTCGAGGCTCAGAGGGCTGACTCCCTGCCAGGCAGGAGGCTGCGGCCAGGCCCCAGGCCCCAGGCCGGCCACAGTGCGTCTTCCTTGCATCCTCCCGGCGCCAGCCAAGGTTTCAGTCTTGGGAGTTTCTGGCTTTGTACTTAGAAATAAAAACATTTCGTATTATTTTCAATTTTGTGATGAAGCTATCTGCCTGTCACTCTGATCCTGGTTACAGTCTGACCCCTCCTTCGGTGAGGCCTCTCCTCACCCCTCCAGGCGCCTCTCAGTTCCCAGGAGCCTCGTGACACGTGTGTCTGAAGGAGTGGTGTGTTTGGGGTGCGGCCGGAGAATGGGGAAGACGGGGCCCAGCAATCTCCCCATCTCCTAGGCGGGGAAGGAAGCTGCCTCTGCAGCAGGTGCCTGGCTCTGTAGGGACAAGGGGGTCGGGGGCTCTTGGAGGAAGTGGCAGCTGGACGCCTCCAGGACCCACCCTGCCGCTGGAGCCAGGGCTCCCTGGGGACACTCGATGCAGGTCCCTCAGCAACTTGGCAACTTCTCCTCCTGCCATGACGCAAGGGCGCTTGGCTGCCCCAGCGGGGATGCCAGGAGGAGGGCGCAGCGTGGGCCCTCCCTGCTGCCTCAGCGCCCTTCTGCTCACTCTCAGGGCTCAGGGAGGCTCCCCTTTCTCCCAGGTCCCCCTTCCCAGGATCAGTTTCTCTGCCTTCAGACTCATGACCCAGCCCCTTCCCTCAAAGCTGGCGCAAGTGTCCCGCCCAGTTTAGAAGACTAGCTCTCAGGCCAGCCAGGATGCCAGCACAGCCCAGAGTGCCCACGCCCGCCCGGGCAGCGTGGGGGGTTGGCTTGCAGCCCAGGCTTAAGTACCTACAAATTCCTTCACCCTGAGTCTTTGTTTCTTTCTGTAGCACAGAGGGATTAGACCAAGAACTCCCCAACCCCCTTGATGTTTTAACAATGCATGCCCTGCCTGCCCGTCAGGCAGCAGCCTGCACACCTCCCTGGAAGAGGAATTACTACTCCTGTCTGTGGGTGCTCCCCCAGCGGCACAGCGGGCACTGCCTTTGACCACTTGGCCAGTCTGCTCGGCTGAGTGAGCTCCAGGAGCTGCAGCCACCCTACAGCCGGCCAGGAGCCCCACCTAGAGGCCCCCACCCCCAACAGGAGTCAGGGTGACGGTGTGTGCCTAAGTAACTAAATCTTTAAAAATAAAATAAAATATAAATAGGAGCACATCATACTATTCTGCACTTTGGAAAACCACATCGGAGCGGCACAGCCACACGGAAAGCGCTATTTTCGCCGCTCTCCAAACGCCCGGCCACCGCACTCAGGTGGTTTATCTTTCCCTTCCTAGGAAGCACATTGCATATACTTTCTGGTGCACACTCCGGCCCGAACTCCGGGCACATTTCTGGAATCGCTGAAGCGGAGGCGCGCCCTGGTGCCCCGAGAGAAGCCAGCAATCCCCAGCGACTGGGGGCCCGGCGGGGTGCCTCCACCGGGCGCCTCACCGGGGCCTGCAGGGCGCCCCGCACGCCACGGTCCTCCGCGGCACCCCAGAGAGGGAGGGCCCGAGCCCCGCCGGCTGGAGCAAGGAGCGGGCGCGGGGAAGGACGAGCCTGAACTCGGTCGGCCGCGCCGCGGCTTCAGCCCGCGGCGGGTCTCAGCGCCGGTGCCCGCAGGCTGGCACCGCGTTCACAGCTCGGCCCGGGCCTCTTCAGCTCCCCCAACAAGTGGCCGCTCGGGAGCCGGAGCGTCGCCTGGCCGCGCCGCGACTCGGGGCGACGCGGCTGCGGTAGCTGCGCCGGCG